TGCGTTAGATATGTCAAGAGGTGTGCATGTCAAATGTGTCAGCACAATTTTACGGCGGACGGCGACTAAGGTTTCAATCTGGGCACTTTAGAACGGATCTCCTAGTGGCGATTAAGTACCTGTGACATCCTAGAAAAGTTCGAGGTCTGCAGAAGCAACTGGGTCATGTCGTAGGGGAAGGGGGGGGGGGGAGGGGTAAAACACCGAAGTGTACGTAAGGAGTGGTGGTGTTATAATTCATAGGCACATCAAAGATGTTCTAAAGACGTTTTTTTCCCTCAGCTATGCTTTATCTACATCCATCGCTAATCGAGGACATTGTCACAGAAGGATGCAAGGACATAAGCATTGGTGCAAGCATTGGTGTTTTCCTCAGTGCCCCAGCAAAATTCGTTTTTACTTGCTCAATAGCACAAAACTTCCCTTGAGACCTCGTCCATTAAAATCCCTTCAATTATTCGGAGCTCTCAAGGTAACGAATCATCCCAAGCCTAAGCGTGAAATTCAAGTTAAATTCAAAGCAAGAAAAGTGGACAGCGTGTGTGATTCTTACGCACCGATGTGCGATGTTTACGTGTTTCTTCTTTCGCAACGTTCAAACACTTGGCGCCTCGATCGTCGACGATTTTATCAGCTTCTTGTACCGACATGTGGTGACAAACACCGCACAGCGCGAGCTACCGACAGCCGCATCTTTTATCCCGAGAGCGCAAGAACATGGCTGGTAGCCGTCAGGCGTTGGACGTTTGTCCAAAGTCAGCTGTGAGAACGCTGACTAGTGTAGCCCGTCCCGCTATGGCGCGGGCGGCGTGGTTCGTGACAAAGTAAACAGAAAATGTGGCGTTGGCGTGAGCTTGAATCTCTGTCTACTTTTCCAGGACAGGAGCTTGTAGTCAAAACCTTGTGGTGCGCCTTCTACCAACAATATATGCTCTGCCAGTTCTTTAACTCTGAAAGGCATTGCCACTCACCGGGGTTGAGGGTGATTGCTGACATGATGAGGAGTGGTAGCTGTGTTATGATAAGATAAGCTATAAGATCATTCGACATTTTAGCTACCCTGGAGGGAATGAGAGCCCTAGTTTTCTATAACAGCACACGTGAGTGACACTCATCCATTTCAAACTGTCATTGCAATCAGTGAACAGAAAAAAAGTTTGCAAAAGATAAGGCAGGGTTGATGTAGCCTGCTGGTGTATTGCTTGGTGTTGAACGTGCTACGTTTCATTGGTTCAAAGGTTTTGTTCTGATTTAATGTCTAAATTGAGCATTTAATGGGCTTATCAGTTATAATTCCCATTCGATCAGTCTTAACTCCTTGTAATCCGTGAAAACTGGCAAATTGTGAAATCCATTTCAGTCCCTATCCATATTTTGGTGGAAATTTCTGATCCGGTCCAAACCAGCCCGTGATGGGATCCAAAATCCGTGGGTTGATCTGTTAAGTGCTCAAGACACACCACAGTAAAGTCAACGTTCATAACCCTCTGGGTCGCCCATTCGAAGATTCGCAAAGTGCGTGTATCGTCTTCGGTCCAGTTTTCCGGAAAAATGTGATATGGTAGCATGTGTCAAGGGTATTTCTTTAACCTTACTTGCATTAACATGAATCTCATCCTTTTTTTACTCTCACTTGCACTGACAAAACCCATCATCAGGACGCGAGGCGTTCCGTTCCTGTTCTCAATCTCTTACAACTACCCCAACGCTATTGATGTGCTGGGCAACACAATCGCTCACCACATTACTTCCTGTCGCTCATCTTCCCAATGATGCGCTTGGATCAGGCAGTCCAAGTCCGTTCTGATCTATCATGCGTCGCATTCCCCCAAAATTAGAGGCAAGTGATCCCCACCTCACGTACTTACAACTTAATAGCTACATGAGCTTCATACTTTGCAGAGCGGTTTATTCAATCTGGTATCGCTTTCTTTCCTTGCTGACGGGATGACAAAAAGAATACTACCAGCAGCTTCAGCCGGCACATGACGTCATAAACTCCGTAACTTTGTGGTCACGTGCTGTGACGTAGACTGAATAGGTGGCCTTGATTGGTGCTGACAAACGTGCTGACGACAGATCAAACGCGGCCCATGCTAACAGGATAATAGGCAAAAGTAATATTACAGCACACAAATTATTAAACTCCGGTACATAACAACAATCTAGATACAGGGGGTGCATCTGGTCGGATTGATATTTTTCAATTTGCACGTAGGATTGCAGGGAACTGCTGTTTATATCGATGGGTATCCTTTTTCTACGAATTCCCTTCCATTGACCAGCTATGGCAAGTGCCTGAAATGTTCGTTGGAAGCGCAAAGTTATCGGGTGACCGCAATCGGTTTTCCCCCACCAACTCACCGCTCCTGTCGCGAACGCATCGTTAGCGTCTATGAAAGATTTCCCGGAAGGTCAGCATTGGAAGCACACTTTGGTCACCACGACTGCGGTCATTGTGCGAACAGCGACTTGCTTATAGTTTCATGTAAGGATCGATAGAGGTATAAGCATCACGAATGGACTGATTGTTCCGATTGTCGTCCCCGTCTGGTAGGGTAATTTGTACAGTCTAACACACCAGACGAGGGAAATGTTCCGAATAACCATTCCGTCTGGAACACATTTGTTTACATCTAGTTTGACCTGCATGGATCGCTCGGTCAGCAGCTCGGTCCGGATAATTATCCGGAACGTTTATTTTTCGGAATAGGATTTGGCACTGGGAACACTGATAATTATCGCGGACAGTGTTCCAGGCCGGTGGTATATCACCGATAATTTTCGGAGCCTAGTCGAGACGGGATTTGTTTGCCATGTCTAACGATGGCCCTTTACTATGCATGGCGCAGCATGCTATGCTTTACTATGCTCCGGTTCACGTCAAGTGACATCTGCTATGTGTATCTATGTGTGCCTTTGTAATGCTAATAAAGGCCACTTTGATGATAAGCTGATTTGGTGTGCCCTAAATTGTTGCCCCTATAGTCATGTGTGCATTTGTACTACCAGAATGGGTTAGAATAAAAAACAGATGAATAATTGTGATATGCAAGAATCACGCTCCTTGAGATAGACTGAATGCACTGGGGTAAAATGAATACAGACCTGAAACCGTACAGTTTTCCATCAGTCCATGCACTAGATATTTCCATTATTCTGGCGTGTTAGTTTACCTCTCTGGACACGGTATTAAAAATTTGTACTGATCATACTGTAAATATTTTCGTTTCCCGTCAAGTATTGGGTCGTCATGTTTCTGCCAACTGATTATGTGATTCTAAAGGTTTTTATTACGGCTATTTTTATGCTGTGCCTTTAAAGTGTTTCACTATGTAGTTATGTATACATTTGTACTTCGAAAGGGTAAAAGGAATCTGAAATGTAGGGGGACGGGTACACAGGCATGGGGAAGGGTGCACAGGGCACACAGGCTTGCTTGCTTCATGAAATCATTCTTCATGCTTCTTGGAATGGACTGAATGCTTTATACTGACTACAAAGCTTGTTATCAGTCAACGTGCTACATATCTTTGAATTATTGTTGTGTTTTTTCCGTTTTGGTCACACATGCATTTTGATCCTGAAAACATGGTAGCGACATTATCAAACAGAGATGAGCAAAGACATGCTCAATCAATTGATAAAATTCAACTAGCACCCTATAGTACCCTCCTTTTATCCCGAGAACTAGGTATGCAATGACAGTGCGGAACACGACATCGACAATCTATCAAATTATCTCTTGAGATAATCTATCAAATGAACTCTAGTGGACATTGACACTTGTGAACTGTGATGTGTCATGCCAGGTGAAGGGTGTGAAAGCGGTCGTGGCATTGGCCCGCCCGACTGCATCAAGAACTAAACAAGACACACTGATGAGAAAACTGTTGAAAACTGAAAAGCCGTCCAAATCTGGTGATTAGCATTCGTGATATTTTTAAACATAACATATTTGCCTATCCTAAGTATGAATTTTTGAGTCCTGGGCGCCTCTGGCCTCTAAATGAAAGTGGCCGTCTAAAACCTCTTTCGTATGGCGAGGGTCAGTGACATACTAAGCGATGATGAAAGTTGTTTTAGTTTTGATCAAATTGTGCAGGTGTAAAACGTGCATGCTAGCAAATTTGAATAAGCCAACTCAATCAGAACTTTCCCTGGCGATGGGTGCAAATGAGCAAACAGGGGTATGCGTCCAGTTTCATCATTATTCATACATCCATTCATATTCATTTACACTATAGAATGGTACAAGAGCCTAGCACATTCGGAGAATAATGACGCATGGACGCTATAAAAATGACATGAAAACGCCGCAGCTGAAATGGGCAATCTAGACTGGCCGTTTCTAATGCGCAGACGCATACCAAAATGGATTTAGCACGAGAACAAGTACTCGGTTCCCAACCTCGCACCACCAAACAGTCGCAAGAACTGCGGCAGTGGATGTCTTGCTGGGCGGAATGGGCATACAAGATATGCCACTGTGTTCCAGATATAAAGATGCCCGTAACACCGCACACACATTTTGGCCTTTCCTGGGTGTCTGAATTTTCTGGGAAGATTTGAATCAGCTGTTATTGGGGGCGGCACAGTGGAGAGTTCAGACTGGCATCCGCTGAAGGAAATGCTTTCTTTGGATAACTGTCATTTAGTTCTAGTTCCTATATATATATATATATATATATATATATATATATATATATATATACACCACAGCCATATCTATATATCTCGGTATTTTTATATCCTCTCTTTCTTTCTTTCTCTCTCTCTCCCTCTCTCTCTCTCTCTCTCTCTCTCTCTCTCTCTCTCTCTCTCTCTCTCTTTCACCCAATTTTTTCGACCTCTCCCCATATCTCCCCCCTCTACTCCCTCTCACTCTCACAGCATCTCTGGCACCGTGCAGCGCGGGAGCTGCCGTTCCCAGTGACCGGTCTGGCCGCCGCAGCACGGGGGCGGAGGAGCTCCAGCAGACGCCTGCAGGCCGTTACCGAGGCCGCACGACTCACCGCCGGCCCGCCGAGACAGCCAGATTCATCCGCCAACCGAACATCATGCGGTGGCTACCTGTTGTGACGGTGCTGATCGCCGGCTGCGTCTCGCTGCGGCCAGCTTGGGCCGGACAAGACAACTCTGATCTGGCGGCGCTGGGTGAGTGACAGCTCTGATCTGGCGGTGCTGGGTGAGTGACAGCTCTGATCTGGCGGTGCTGGGTGAGTGACAGCTCTGATCTGGCGGTGCTGGGTGAGTGACAGTTTTGGTCCGGCGGTGCTAGGTGAATGGCAGTTCTGATCTGGCGGTGCTAGGTGAGTGACAGCTCTGATCTGGCGGCGCTGGATGAGTGCCAGTTCTGATCTGGGTGAGTGGCAGCTCTGATCTGGGCGTGTGGCAACTCTGATCTAGTCGGACTGGGCGACAGCGCCCTTCGTGGTGCCCAAGAATCGACAAATTTATAATCCATTTGCGCATTGTAGTGTGTCTTATCAGAAAGTGCGCAATATTATGCATGCATATTACATATAAGCGCAATATTGTTATATGTGCGCATTTTGATAATGCGCGCATCAATACCCACGTATTAATCCCGCGGGTATTGATGCGCGGAACCCGGCTCTATTTTATCTATTGCCCGACATATGCAACCACCCTAAGGTTTTTTTAGGGTATCTCCGGCATGTCGTACAATCGCACCAAACTTGTCGTTAGTCCGTAGGGTAGTCATAGGATAGTCATCGCGCATGGGCTGACTAAAAAACCTGTAGCATGCCAAAAATACTGGCTTGCTGCATCCAGTTAATGTTTATGTCGTACAATCGCACCAAACTTGTCGTTAGTCCATAGGGCAGTCATAGGATAGTCATCGCGCACGAGCTGACTAAAAAACCTGTAGTATGCCAAAACATACTGACTTACTGCATCCAGTTAATGTTTATTGGCGTGCTCGTACTTGCATCATGTGGAGCATGTGATGGCACGAGGACATCACATGGAGCACACGGGCCATCGTACGTTACATACTTACTAATCGGGTTTAACCTTGCGACTCGTGGGATGATGCTTTACCCTGTTATCCAATTGTCATAGATGACGTAAATTCATCGATGGCAGTTGTAACAGAACGACATTGCTTTGGATCACAGAACTCAGTATACCTCGAGGCGTAACGCGATACTGCCAGCAGTGTTCGCTGAAGCTCCCTCCCCGCGCCTCACTCAACCGGTTGACGAACACATGGTACGCGGGAAGCGTCTCAGTTATGTTGCATAAGTTACTGATTCATCCAAGGCCTCTGAAGGCCTTTGGGGGAAACCTTGCCAAAATATTTGATCTGCACCAAAATAGCAGCTCTATGTTGAACAATTCCCCGAATAGCTGAACTGTTAGTTGTTGTCGCAAGCTCAGCATTTCCCCCTTGCTTCGTAATCTTACCGAGTCCTTCGCAGGCGGTATAACTATGGCCCGCGGTATAAGTTGACACGCGGGCAGACTGCAAGCTCCCTTCGTCTCAATAAGGATATGCACAATTTATTTACGCGCTTTTGTAAACCTGCGACATCTCATCACCGAGACTCGGAACGTACGTCCTTTGTGTGATCTTCGGCAGGAATGAAGCTGAAGCGGGAATGGAACCAACCAAGTAAAGGTGTATTTGTGTCAGAGGCATGCATGAATCCAGCACCTTCCATTTCAGTGTGCATTTATAGCTGGATAGCTGAAGACCCGAGGTTGATATTTCAGACGAGATGATTTCTGGAAGTTAAGTTTGATAATTATGTGAAGCTGAATGTGTCCTTTTGTGCTGTGCTTGGCATTCTGTCGCAAGTCAATCTGAACGTCAGAACGAACTTAATCGGATAGCTTTGGCAAACACGGATCAGATCAGACCACACGCAACGGATGAGACCCGATTGGATTAATGATTTCTGGAAGAGGTAGATCACGTATCGAATAGATCTCAGATATAGCGGGCTGGACCGGTTGCTGGCATCGCGCCTCGCTGATCTGGTCGCGGTCGGTAGGTGATAGCATCCTTGATCATGGCGTAACGGCTCTGGCCCTCGGGACCGGCCGGCCGCACTGGGTGAGTTATGCCCTGGCTGAGTCGTGGTCACGTGCAGGGGTATGTGATGTGTCAGCCTTCTTGATAGATGCGGTTTTACTAAAACACCCAAGCCCGGCCACCGTCACAGCTTTCGGAAGATGGCATCGTTGCAGTTACTTTTCACAGCTCGTCACACACTTTCTGCAGAAAGAAGGTGACGCTTTGCGCTTTTATCTCCGCGCTTTTGCATGTAAGCTGTTCAGACATGTTCTTCTTGTAGCAATGCGCCCCTTCCGATTCAGCTGAAAAATGGAATAATGGAAAATGCAAGTCGCGAAACCCAATGAAACTTGGTTACCCATTTTTTTGTCTGGAATTGAGACGAGATATTGCGGTCCAGGACAGAAACTGGAAACCGGAACGTGGCCAGATATGAATGAAGCAGCATGCTGTGAAAAGTGACGCAACAAAGCCAAAACCGGGACCGGATCTTACCAGCCCGTTGTAGTGGTGGCACGGCATCGGTGCAGCTTGACTGACAGCAAAATGGCGTTCGTATTGACGCAGGTCTGTGGCAATGTGGGCGGGACATCAAGTACGTTTGTGCTCGAATCAAGAACCAACCGTCTTTTGGGGAACAATATCGCATCTTTGTAAACGGAGTGGCACCAAGCATCATACAACTCAGACCTCACCTGCTCTTTCCTTAGATGAGCTTTTGCTGTTCTCCATATATTGTTGAAGGACCATACTAAAGCAACAGGCTTAGATTCAGAATAAACAATGCTATCAATTCCTATCCAGGTGCGTCTGCATGCGCCTCGCAGATCAGGGCGTTTTGCAAATTGCTGGGCTCTCTCAGGCAGCCTGCTAACTGCCAGGAGTGCTTGAAACGTTGCGGAATGCCAACACAGTTTGTGAGCTGCCTGTCTGGCTCGGTGTGCTGGGAAATGCCACCACAGGTTGTAAGCTGTCCGATCAGCAGGACAATGGGACGTCGGCTAGAAAGTTTTGAAATTGCTCAAGTCATCACATCACACGCAACTTAAAGGTACTTTGATATGCAGTGTGTTCTGAGTTGACTGTGTGACTGTATGCAATAGTTCACTATATAAGTACAGCCATTGTGAAAAGCCATCATATGAAATTATTCCTCGGTGGCAAACAAGCAGAACTTTGGACCACATCAACCACATGAAGCGGCGTTACTCACATTTTGCAGCGAAATCGTCCCGTAAAAAAAAAACGCAACGTCGGCCTAGTAGAGGGGTTTAATAATTCTCTGCTAGGGGATTCTTATTTCGTCCATTTAATATTTATTTTCCTAAATGTTCAATTGCGGCCTGTTTGGGGCCTGCATGATTTCAATTTACTGCCAACATGTTATGTTACGCAACAGAAATGATGGTGTAGAATTCGGACCAGACGCAATTGACAGATGCATTGTCTTCATGTGTCACCATCTGAGTCGCACTTTAAGAACCACCTCCCATGGGCTCGTTGTGTGACGCATTTTGTGAGCCTTGGTTATTAATGCCAACACCCAAGGACTGCGCTCGTGAGGTGTTCTTAACACCAAGAAATATAATGTCAGGCGGAGGCGGATCCAGGATTTCAAGAAGGGGGAGGAGAGAGAAGCATGCAACCTTGTGATCCCCTGGAGTTTCAGGCCCCTCCAAAAATCTTAGCATCACGACCATTAAATCCTAAGATTCTTCGTATGCTGGTCCTTACATGGGAACCATCTTTCTGCGCGCAGCCCGTGGCAGAGCGTACCAGGCGTGCTGCAGATGCACATGCATGAAGCTTATTCATTTTCTCGAGATCATGGCGAATCCTGCCGTTCTCAGGCCAAGCTTTAAAGACATGACAATGCCAACTAAAGTTAGCTGCTAAATGCCATCAAAACCAAGCACGAACCTGATTCTTAGCTTATTTGCGGTCAGCCTGTTGCACCATATGATCAGCTGATGCTTGATGGCTAATGCAGGATTTTTGCTTTGTCTGCTATGAAGAGGTACGCAATATCCTAGCATTCAAAATATTTAAAAACCGTGATGCAAATGCATAAAGTGTGTTCAGTAATGCACGGAAAATAACACAATACGACGCCAGCGGAACATTAAACTATGTGTGACAATTGCACGTAAAAATTCGAACTGTTCTGTGTAGATATCCAACTGCTGCTCCAAGACTAGGACACCAAGGCCAACATTGCGGGCCTCTGAACGATCGGGAATGACCTGAAAGGCTAACATGTAGGACCCCGGCCAGAGCACAGAAGCCTCTAAGCAAAGGAAAATGACCTAAGAGCAGTGTACATGAATTAGTGCCCATGTGAGTTCCCGAGCAGGTTGAGACGAAGGGCCTCCATAGTAATGAGTAGTCCCCCGCGAATGAGAGCAAATAGAAAGAGTCCGAGATCAATGCAGAGGGTCCCTGAGCATCGAGTGGCTCAGTGCCTTACCTTACATGAGCCTCAACAACAGCACAAGGCCCTCCGAGCATGTGGAATCAACCCGAGGCGAATGTGAACAGCCCCTGAGCAACTGAGTGTTGCCCTGCATATGGGGCCCCTGCAAAAGCGTGTAGAGCCTTTCGGGCGGGTGGCAAGAATTCGTAGAGGGCTCCTGATCGATCAAGAATGCCCAAGCGGAGTAGTAGATAGTGCCCAACAACAGCACAGGGCCCTACGATAAAATACAAAGAGATCAAGGCAACGTGGAAGGCTCCTTAGCGATCAGGTTGACCCGGCAGGTGGACGTACCCCGGGAACAGCGCAACACCTCTGGGCGACGCCATAAGCCTCACAATTTCTCCAAACACCATCGTCCCAACCCGCAAGGAATGGCGTTCGGCTGCTTACGGGCTCTTCACTTTCGCTTGCATATATTCTTGGTCGTCTGTAAGCCCAAAGGCTTTCAAGTTTGTCGTGTTTTGTGTTAGAAAACTGCTTCTTTTCTGCTTGTTATGGACCCCCTCAGAGAGCATGGGTCTCCTCGGGGCATAAGGGGGCATAGTCCCCTGCTCTAAAATATAGGGTCATCTATTCGAATAAGAAGTACCCAAGACACAATATAGAGAGCCCAGGAAAAAATAGAGTGTGCCCAAGCGGATTAACAGATGAGGCCCCTGACAAGAGCGCAGGTACTTGCATTCAAATAAAAAGTATCTGAGACCCAAAGTAGATGGTCCCCGAACGATCAAGCGTGCCCGAACAATTTATCAGAACGGGCCCCGACAGGAGCGTAGGGCCCTTCATGCAGATAAGAAGTACCCAAAACCCGGTGTGGCGGGCCCCCAAAAGATGAACTGTACCGGAGCTGGTCATCAGATGGCTCCCGACACGAGCGTAGGGCCTTACACTCAAATACCAAGGCCGATTGTGCAGGGCCCTCGAACAATTCGGTGTACTCGAGCAGGTTAACATATTGGGTTCCCGACAAGTGCGTAGGGCTCTCCATTCAAATAGGAGGTACCCAAGACACAATGTGGAGGGCCTCGAACAATTAAGAGCGTCCGAGCAGGTCAACAGATAGACCCCGCTAAGTCCGTAGAAATCTAAGCAAGTGACAGAGAATTAGAGGGGCCTTAGACCAATATAGAGGACCCATGTGCATATCGCGAGTGTGTCGGTAGGGTTACCGAGGCCAACGTAAAAGGCCTCTGAGCAACCGATAATACCCCGGTAGGTGAACAAATGAGGCCAGAAGCTATATCGTATGGAGCCTTTCGGGCGAATGGCAGAATCCCCGGAAGGTCTCTGATTGACAACAGTACCCGGCACGCTAGCAGGAAAGGCCCCAGCAATAGCGCATGGGCCTCTGGACAAGTGCAAAATCTATTCATCCGTTGATGCAGTACTCAACATCGATTGAGCCGACATGTGCCATATGTTAACCTGACATGGGACAGTGCATTGACCTGATGTGTGTCAGCTGTTGGCCTGACGCTTGTCTTGCTGTTGCAGAAGCGCTAACCGCGGCCAGCTTTGGAGTTCATCCCGCGCACCTGCGGAAACGCAGAAACCTCAACGAGCTACTCGCGCATGGCCACCATGCTGCCCACGCGGACCATGGTGACCACGGCGATCACGGAGACCATGGTGCGCACGGAGATCACGGAGAACATGGTGCTCACGGGCATCATGGCGCCGAAAAAGGCACGCGGGCAGCGTTGACTCCTGCCAAGGGCACCGAACAGTCGGTCTGGACGCTCATCAACCACACAGACAAGTACGGCTGCGTAGCCAAGTTCACCTGTCTGCTGGAGGCCAAGCACCAGGGCAAGAACATAACGTCACCGGAGATCGTCATCCACCAGTACATCACGTGAGTGGCGCGGCGAGATAGGACCGCTGACGCCGACGGGCGCGGCGAGGTGGGACCACTGACGCCGACGGGCGCGGCGAGATAGGACCGCTGACGCCGACGGGCGCGGCGAGGTGGGACCGCTGACGCCCACCGGCGCGGCGAGGTAGGACCACTGACGCCAGCCGGCGCGGCGAGGTAGGACCGCTGACTCCGACCGGCGCGGCGAGGTAGGACCGCTGACGCCAGCCGGCGCGGCGAGGTAGGACCGCTGACGCCAACCGGCGCCGCGAGGTAGGACCGCTGACGCCAACCGGCGCGGCGAGGTGGGACCGCTGACGCCGACGGACGCGGCGAGGTAGGACCGCTGACGCCAACCGGCGCGGCGAGGTGGGACCGCTGACGCCAACCGGCGCGGCGAGGTAGGACCGCTGACGCCAACCGGCGCGGTGAGGTGGGACCGCTGACGCCAACCGGCGCGCCGGACGACGAACACAGGCGACCACTGTACGCGACATTGCAGCGGGTGGGTGGCCAGAGGAAGAGTGGGTCTGCAGAGGCAAGCAAACCTCTGGGCCAGGGACAACTGTCGCAGGGACAACTGGTCCATAGTAACTGAACCGATAGTACTTGAACCAGGGACAACTGGATTAGACATAGTCTATTGGCAAGTGAACAAGGGAAATGAGATCAGTATAACTGAACCAGAATAACTGGCCGATGGCAGCCAAACCAGGGACAATTGAACTGTAGCTTCTTAACCCCCGACATATCCTTAGCGTGTCTTGTTCCTCCTCGGCTCGCTGTTTTACATCCACCCAATCCTGCCAGTTGCGACTTCATCGGGTCACCGTGTCGACATTGCCATCATTGTCATCAGTTTAACTGTCACTAGCTCAGATGTCAGTGCCTTAATCGTCATTAATATTTTTGCCACCGGTGTTTTGGTTGATACTGGCGCAACCGCCACTGGTTTGATAGAAACTAAACTAAACTTAATAGAAACTAAACTAAACTTAATATAAACCAAATAGAAATAGTCACTAGGTAACCATCTCGGGTTTAATCCTCACTGGTTGGTACTGGCCTCTGGTACAGTTGTCTTGGCTCAATCATCATGGACCCCATGCAGTTTACCAACCTGATGTTGATTGCTCCGCCAATTACATTGCGAACGGCAATCGGTCTTGAGAGCATCAACAGACATAAGGGAAAGATCACCACATTTCGTAAGCCTCATAAAATGAGAGCAACTGCCTATACCATTTCCAAAAGTTGCATTGTTAACAGATAAGCCTGTGGCGGATCATTTTTTTTACAGATATTTTGATGCGAAGATTATTGGTGAAAGCCTCAGTTAAGTGAAGCTAAGGAGTTCGGGGCAAGTGTCCAAGGAGGCGATCAGAGGTCCTCTATAAGTTGTGGCCTTGCTTTATGAGACTGTTTACCTTGCGAGCCATTGCGAAAGGTCAGCGGGAGAATGCTCTGACCCTGTCTTGGCCCGGCTAGGCCCTCAAAGCAGCCAGGCTGCACCGAATTGACCAGGCTGATGGTCAGCAAACACACCCCGCATCCCACAGCGATTGACTACAGTCACGTGAGACTGTTGAACGTTTTATTACTGGCTGATGTAAGCAACCCTCTTTTTAAACCTTGGGTCTAAGCCTCTTGATTCGGCGGATTTCTGGGATCCGGGGCAGGGCCCACTCTAAGCACCAGTTCAGCCCACCCGGTTCAGCTAAGGGCGCGGCCACGCGCGGGCGCGGGCGCTGCTAGCTCCTCCCTTGTTACCCTGCACGCCTGCTCTTTGTTGCAGGTGTGTGTGTGAAGGGGGGAGGGGGGGGGGGGGCAGTAGTGTAGTGGTTAACGTTTCTGTATTAACCTCTACGGCCTAGCAAACCAAGGTTCGGGGCTCGATTCCTCGCGGTTCCAACCCTCCCTGCCAGGGTGAGAGGCAGGCCACGCCATATAGCGACAGCAGCTGGATGCGCCATAAAGCCCAATGACAACAACAAGTGTGTGTGTGTGTGTGTGTGTGTGTGTGTGTGTGTGTGTGTGTGTGTGTGTGTGGTGTGTTGTGTGTGTGTGTGTGTGTGTGTGTGTGTGTGTGTGTGTGTGTGTGTGGTGTGTTGTGTGTGTGTGTGTGTGTGTGTGTGTGTGTGTGTGTGTGTGTGTGTGTGTGTGTGTGTGTGTGTGTGTGTGTGTGTGTGTGTGTGTGTTTGAGACTGCACCCGATTTGTCTCCGGCTACCAGCACGCTTCTCAACAAGATCGTGACGTCCAAGTCGTGAAGCCCGTCACGGCCCTGGGCCTTCACCGCCATGCACGTGTTCGACGTGCCCACCCACAGCCAAATACATCAAGGCCTGGCCCTTCACCCTGACTTTCCTGACCGTCATCCGTGTGCTAGTGCCTGTCTGCACCCGTCACCTATTCCGTTCCAACTTCAACCGCGTGCGAGACCTGTCAGAATCTGATCATTGCCTGTTCGGGTGCTGCGCCTCTGGCTTCGGCAGCCGTTCTCAGCGAATGCACGCGCCGGGCCACGGCGGCCGCGCGGCAGGGGCAGGCGGTCCCGACGCCGCGGACGGAGGTAGCGCAGTGGTGGACGGAAGACGACAGTCCAAGCTTCCAGGCTTCTGGAGCACATCAGAAGCACATCCAAGCTTCTGGAGCTCACAAAAGAACTCAGACGTCACGAATTCGATGTCGTGCTCCAATATGAGACGTGGCTGCGACCCGCCACGCCCAGCCGACCCGTGGCGATGCCCGGGTACTTCATCAGCCGGGTAGCCTCGCCGCGACGGGTGAGGCTACGGCGGCGACGTTGTCATGACAAAAACCAGCATCAAGTCGACCGCAACGCGTCTGCCGGCTCTTTAGATCCAGGGCGGTAAGCTGGAGTCACGGCGGCGCTGTTGAAGCTCGAGCGGGGACATCAGTTCGTTATCTAATGGCTGCTCCGTCCGCTTCGGCGCACAGGAGCTGCCCTACACCACGACTAACGGACCTGGAGACCCAGCTGCGGCGCGTGCTGACTGACCGGCCGGGAGTTCCGCTCATCATCAGTGGTGATCTGAAATGCGATTTGTGAAAGGACCACAGTGGTTCAGGGTGTCGGTGGCCTTTTGGAATTTTTAACAAATCACTCCATTGACCATCTTGTGGCCGTACCGACTCTCTTTGCTGGGATGATATATCTTTATATCGGTCATCCAGACATTTATCACGCCATAATAACATCATTCAAATCCTGCCATTCTGTTGACTATGCGACGGTTAGGACCAAGAAAAATATATAATAGTAAATAATATATATATATATATATATATATATATATATATATATATATATATATATATGTGTGTGTGTGTGTGTGTGTGTGTGTGTGTGTGTGTGTGTGTGTGTGTGTGTGTGTGTGTGTGTGTGTGTGTGTGTGTGTGTGTGTGTGTGTGTGTGTGTGTGTGCGTGTGTGTGCGTGCGTGTGTGTGTGTGTGGGTGGGTGTGGGTGTGGGTGTGGGTGTGGGTGTGTGTGTGTGTGGGTGTGGGTGTGTGGGTGGGTGTGGGTGTGGGTGTGGGTGTGGGTGTGTGGGTGTGGGTGTGTGCGTGTAAAAATATGTAATGGTGGAGTCATTCACATCTGGCCTTCATGAGTATGATTTCCAGATGCAACGGCCGTCAGTTGGCTCTCAACCAATGTTGTGCAAGGTACGATGGTGTAATCAATAACTTGTCGAGAAGCATATTTATTAACCAGAGACATTGTGTTGTCTCGAGCAGTCTTTTCAGCTTAAGATTATACCAATAACTATAAGTGAGCTTGTTTCATCCTTTCTAATGCTTGCTTCAATGTCGTGAAATGTGAAACACTCCCTGTAAGTAAATGCTTTGACGTCATTGATCAACGAATTCGGATCCAGAAGCTGCGGATGCACGGTATTGAGGCCTCCTCGTTTGCCGCCTGTCTTCAAGGGCACACCCAGAAGGTGTACTTGAATGATGGGTCCGAGCGCAGGATGCTGTCACGGTCGCTTGCTACCAACATGGCTGTCTTCCAAGACTCCACATTAGGCCAGCTTCTGTTTCAAGTTTTCCCGCATGACCTTCCTTTGTATGCAGAAAAGGCACATGTTTTTTTCAATATGCAAATGGCATCCAGGTTTTGGTGAGTGATCCGAAACACTACCTTAAGGGACTTATCTCCCGCATGGAGGCATCGCTTGCGTCACTCAGCTGCTGGTTCCCTTCACACACCCTTGAGGTGAACGCAACCAAAACGCAGCTGATTACTTTCTGCGGTCCTCAGAATTTACGCCCTATTTCGGACTTCACCGCAAGTTTCCATGACGCTGCGCTGTGACCTTGAGGAACTAAGGTGTCGTCTTTGACAGCGCCCTGTCCTGGAATTCACATATGGCCAAACTCACTCCCGGTATATGGACGTTCTCATAGGCCTGTCCCACGCGCGACACTGCCTTCCGGATTGCGTCATCAAAACCCTGATGAACGCGCTGGTGCTCACGCAAGTCAGGTGTTGTCTCATGGTTGATGACAATGGCTACAAAACAGCTTCGAAAGAATCCGAAAGATCCGAAACTTTCATGCCGGAATGATGTTTGGCCGGCGTAAATTTGACCGTGTGTCTGATTTGCGTGAGATGCTTCGATGGACGTCGTCTGGACGCATGGAAGAGCTTCAAGTTGATGCTGCACGTCGAGGTTGATGCTGTTGTAAGTTGTAGGTTGATGCTGTTGCTGTTGACGTCAAGTTGATGCCGCACGTTGATGCTGCACCTGCTATGCCGAGGGGCATGTTTGTGCTAACCGCGACACACGTGCCCGACCCGCTCGGCAGGACAGACTCCTCCACCTTCCCAGGCCGAGAACCGAGACCGGTGGGAGACGTGTTGGGTGTCACGTGCCCGACCCGCTCGGCAGGACAGACTCCTCCACCTTCCCAGGCCGAGAACCGAGACCGGTGGGAGACGTGTTGGGTGTCACGGGCCCGCATTGAATAATGCACTGTCAGCCGACTTCACACAAATAGCAGAGCGGCGTTTCGTACGCGCGGGGAGAGCTCACTTGTTTGAGTGCTATTGCTATTCGTAGCCGGTGAATGGGTGCCTGTGTGCATCATGTTTTGTTTCTTACATGCGTGTTCTTATCTCCTGTAATTTTGGCACGGAACTGTAAAAGCCACTGTCAGTTGTGGATGGCCATATGAAAATAACAGATATACATACATAAGCACTAAGCGACCGGCCCAACAGCAGCATGTTGCAATGGAAAGTTCAAAGGGAGTGTTTCACATTTGAAGATATTGAAGCAGACATCAGATATGATGAAACAAGCTCACTTATAACAATTGTTACACTTTTTAATTGGAAGAGGTTGCAGTACAGTACAATGTTCAGTTTAGTAGATATACTCCTCAATGAGTCAAGGTGAAATTACGTCACTGTACCTTGCACAACATTGATTCAGACCCAATTGGCAACTGTTATATCTGGAAATCGCGCTCACGAACGACATATAAGAACGCCTCAACACTTACATTCGTCGTTACCTTGATTGCCACTTGGCTTATGGAATGACAGGATTTAAATGACGTTGTTTTGACATAATGAATACCATGGTGAGTTTAAAATACTCTCCTCGGTATATTTTTCCCCATTTTCACGGGAGCACAGCTCAGAAACTAGAGTGGCTTAGGTCTTAAGGAGTACAGCATTGTGAACAACACCAAAAGGTCTTGAAGATGGCTATTTTAGTTCAAAAGAAAGAAGCATTTCACCATTGGGGCATATTTGAAAAGCATACTCTAGTGAAATCTCAGGACCAGTCGCCTCTAATAAAAGCACTATGTAGGCTCACCGCAGTACCGTGAAGACATACGAATATCAATTATGATTATTTTAGCTTACGCTGCCCACGCTTTGTAACAGCAGTGCGCCACTTCGCCCCGCAGTCGCGACCACCGTCTCCATGAAAACTGCCCTTCAAATGTGAAACATTCCCTTCAAGTGCGGCCGTGGCTTTCGGCTGCAGACCATTTCAGTCATAGACAAATATCGAGCCCTTAAAGCGGCTCGAACCTACTCCGCCGCAGGTTGGTGAATCAGAAGACAGCACCCTAGTCGATTGAGCTATCAGTAAAATGAGCTACTAGTAAAATAGTTCATAAAGAATCGATGTTAGCTGTCTGAAGAGCAAGGCCGTAGTAATCGGAGTCACGCGACACATCGCTTGTCCTCTGCATCGACATATTTCTAGCAGATTGAAGCATGTGAGGTCTTTTAACTTACTTTACTCTGCGGAAATACGACGAACTACGACGAACTGGCGGACACGTGGCATTACTTAATTTCACCACACCGACAGGCCAACCGTAAATTGCTACGTAAAATGACCACCACAAGCTGTACATCACGCATGTAGCCACCTGCACATCTCAGCTGTTTTTTCTTCTTCTCTAGCCCACGAAATGCGAGATTGGCAGGGATTGGTCGCCCACCTGCGGGCGACGACGAAACCGGCCCGGGTGGAGGGGAGGGGAAGAGGGAGGGGGAGCCACCGAGACAGAGCCTTCGTCGCTTACGTAACTCAGGAACAGGATGCGCGCGTCATAGCCCAGGGCCAGAATAAGCGCATCAGGCGTGGGCGGGTGGGAGAAGTTCAAAAGTCAATTTTCCTGTAAGCGCAGCTATAATATGAGCCATCTGCTTAAACCTGAACTTTCACGGTTGGCTTTTCAGTTTTACACCTTCTCCGCTTTTTTCACTGAAAAGTTTCATAATCAGGTACATAAACCTTTAAATTTAACCTTAGTCTTTGCCTTTAATTAGCTTGGGAAACGTCCTTAAATTTAAGTCCTATCGTTCAAACCTGCTGCCGAGCTCTCGCCGCCGGGCTCCCGCTGCCGAGCTCTTGCTGCCGGGCTCCCGCTGCCGAGCTCTCGCTGCCGGGCTCCCGCTGCCGAGCTCTTGCTGCGGAGCCCTCGCGTGTGAAGTCAGCTGATCGCCAAGGCCTTCGATCTCACTGGAACGGTGCGAGTGGGCCAGGAACGTGGCGGAGCTGACCTTGAACGTCTGGGTCGTGATGGATTCGAAGCGGGCGTGTTGGCGGACTTTCCTGTAAAACGCCTGGATTTAGGGCTTAGCACTGAGCCACATGGGGTTCTCCAGGGCCGACGAGCTGGCATACTCGGCTGGGGAGGGCCGGTGGCCGGTGCTGGCCATGGCTGATGCTGGGGCTAATGAGAAGATCTCGTGGGTGTTTGGGAGACGCTGTGTCAGGAGAGTGGTCGGGTGACTTGTGTTTCTTTGCATTTGATCTCAAGAACCTTTTGCAAATGCGTTTGCTGGTTGCACTTAGTGGTACCTCGAAATAAACCGTAAATGAGTACCATTTTTCGATCACATTGAAACCCTAGAAACTCATTTAAATCTCACTCAAATTTCTAAATGATAACACTCGCGTTGTATAAAACACTTGCATTGAGCCCACGCGCTTGCGCGTCTTCATCGACATCATGATAGACCCCTGGCTATACACGCGTTTTTATTTATTTCCTGGCTCATGCGCTTGCACACCTCCATTGGCACCATGGTAGGCTCCAGGCTACTCCCGTGGTTTTTTATTTCCTAGCTCACGCGGTTGTCCTTCTTCATTGGCGCCATGGTAGGCCCCGGGCTGGACCGCGGCTGGAATTGTTCCTGTCCTGTGTTTGGTAGCCACCGTTACATTGTTTGGTAGCCACCTTTACATTGTTCGGCCGCTACAACTCATCAGGACACAATCACCGCAAAAAACACGTTTTGAAATGTCCAAAATTAACTAGATGTGTGTTGCATTTAAATGGGGCGTCCCAGCTTTGGGGTATATTTCAAAACCCAACAATTTCGAAGAGCAAATGCAAGTTATTACTTACATTGTGGTGAACACGGAGTCAGATGAGATTTCTCCTGCAGGGTCGGCATTTTCAAATCAAAGTGTTCAGCCGCTCGGAATTATTTCGAGAAAGCGGTATTGCTGGACAAACCGTACGCATCTGGTGTAACGACAGGTTTCATGTAGTACAATACATAAATTATTGTGCCTTTATTTAAATTCTTATATAATACCATATTGATAATAGTACCAGATTCAAGAGACAGATCAAAAAGTGGCAATAGGTACAGAAAGTTCGGTGCTCCCTTTAAGGTCGTTCTTTTAATAACAGCTCACTTGCATGTCCCATCGCTTCCATACGACCAGTCCTCGTGAACAATAGCTCCACCGCATCGTACATTGCTACGGGTGTTGCACGACTACATGCGGTGAATGCGCCCCCAGAGTTCAGGTGCTCACCATTCCACACGTTGTTAATGCTCCGTTCGCTCTTCAGAATGCATATGCCCTGTCTTCACGCAGGAGTCAGCCGGCCGAGTCAGAGCTTGAGGAGCTGAGCATTCTGAAGGCGCCCTACTTCTTCGCCGCCTTCGTCGGCAACCGGTTCGGCCGCAGCATGTGCTCTAGGTTCTTCCCCGACTGTCGACACGACTTCGAAGATGAGCTGGTGTTCGTCGACAAGTTCGAGATCGTGCAGCCGGGGGCCGCCCAGCCGTCCGTGAACTTGGATGTGAACCTGGCCGGGCCGGCCCCTTGAGCAGGGCAGAGGCAGTCGGCCGACGCGGCCGCGCGCCCGGCTCGTCGGCCGGCACCGGCACCAGCACGCCGCGCCGGCTCCCTCCGCCCGCCCCCGCTGCAGTGCCGACTGATGATGCAGGCCGCCCGCTGTGGAGCGGAATACATGATGCACTGAGACGTTGTGGGTAAAACAAGGTTCCGTTGCACGCGTGCAGATGCCCGCCATTCGCCCATACATGCATGCGGATGCGTATGCGGTTAGTTGTTATGTCTCGCGTGGTGCACCTTTGCTTGCTAGAAATATGTCGCTGATGGCCTCAAGACGCGGCAAGTCTTACGGTGAGGTTTACAGGGTCCATAAATCCTTCAAATTGTCGACGCGTGCTGTACACAATCCGACCGCCTCTTCGTTCCAAAAATCCTGGCTGTTTCGTGTCCAAAGCATTTGGTCCGAGCGGTTCGAGCCAACGGTGCACAATCGGAGAGAACCAGCTCTCACAGCGACAGAAGTCCCGAGAATTATCCTAAAAAAAAACATGGCAAAAGCACTCATGGTCAGTGCGGAGTTGCATGACTGCTGTGCAGTGTGAGAGGCCGTGTCCCGTCCCGCTAGTCAGTGCGGGAAGCCGTGTCCTGTCACGCTGTTCAGAGTGGGAGGCCATGTCCTATCACGCTGGTCAGTGCGGGAAGCCGTGTCCTGTCACGCTGGTCAGTGCGGGAAGCCGTGTTCTGTCACGCTGATCAGTGTGGGAGGCCGTGTCCTGTCACGCTGGTCAGTGCGGGAAGCCGTGTTCTGTCACGCTGTTCAGAGTGGGAGGCCGTGTCCTGTCACGCTGGTCAGTGCGGGAAGCCGTGTCCTGTCACGCTGTTCAGAGTGGGAGGCCGTGTCCTGTCACGCTGGTCAGTGTAAGAGGCTGTGTCCTGACACGCTGGTCAGTGTGGGAGGCCGTGTCCTCTCCCGCTGGTTAGTGCAGGAAGCCGTGTCCTCTCCCGCTGGTTAGTGCAGGAAGCCGTGACCTCTCCCGCTGGTTAGTGCAGGAAGCCGTGTCCTGTCCCGCTGGTCAGTATCTCCGCCGCCAGCCGAGGATCATGTGGACACCTGACATGGAGACCGGCCGCTGGCAGCTGCTCGGACGCTCCGACCAGGAGTGTCGTGTCGATGAGAGGGCGCGGGGCAGGGGCAGGGGGGAGGGATAGAGACAGAGCCCAGCCAGCCGCGTGCCGAGAGGCAGCCGCCGCGCCGTCCGCATCGCACCAGCACTGCACCGGAAACGGACAGTCAGCGTTGGCCAGAGCAGTGGGATGAATAGCAGCGGAGACGGCCCGACGTTACAACGCTAACTTATGGATGCTGGCATGTAGTGCCTGCGGCGGAGTTCAGGTTTGTTAAGATTCGTTGGTCATTGGTCACATTGAACTCCTCTGCCCGGCATGTATAGTTTTATGATATTAATGATACGGTGAATATTTGGAAAATTCAGGGCACCTTTTTGGGCGTTGTTGCCGGAACTGTGCGCTATGTGTTCCAAATCGTTAGCTCTTGCTCTGTTTATGTTCACACCACGCATACTACTCTACAGCCCCTTCTGTCGCCTTACTTGGTGCATGCTTATCCCAGTTTGTATGTGCCTGAATATTTGACCGCGAAATATTATATTGGCTGCATAGATGGACGTTGCTGCGACTGCACTGATTGGAAAATATCCAGTTGGTTTTCCTCAAGTAAAGCTTAATTATCATATGAGCTCGCACGCTTTACGGAACAGCTTCTGACTTCGCGTATAGCAACTACACACATCCAGAAATTGCAAGAACAGATTCGTCAAGCAGTCGCTGTGCAGATTTTTCACAAACATTGCGAGAGATTTGCACAATAATGCTTCATTAAAAATGTCAATATAATCTCTTCCCCACGATTAATCCCGGCACATTCTTTAGGTATTGAGGACATGACGGATTTATCTAAGAAACCAATGTCAATGTCTACTCATCTCACGGAAGATTCGCAAGATTATAAAACGATAAGCTTTGTCAGGGAAGTTTTTCACCCGCCGTAGAAGTCTTATTTTATTTTAAGAAAACATTTGGCAAGACATGATATGAGTTATTGGGATACATGATCTGTTTTGTAGTTCTAACTTAATCAACACTCAAAATGCGTAATACTGTGTTACAGCGATATATTTTGTATCAATTTGACCTTCAAAGCAGTCTTTAGACTGCTGTCGAAGGCTTACAGTATAAACGCTCTCATTTTGTACTCATTTACACACATCGGTAGAGATTCCCTCAACCATAAGCGCAAGCATTCAAGCAGTTGTTGATTTCTATCGATTTTGAAAATCGAGGGTCTCACACGGGTTGCAAGCAAAACGTCTGCTTTAAAATATTTACCTACTAGCTAAAATCCCATTTCAAGTAATTAATGATGGCAATTCAAATCGGAGAATAATATAGAGATACTTATCATTTTCCAGCACTTGGCGTTCACTTAACATTTGATCGAAGTATCCATGCGCGTTACGCATTTAGCATGATGCATTTTGATAGAAAACATAGCATTGAACATAGTCATTAAAGTTAAATCTTTTATTGACATATGCCACGTCATCAGTGGTGCAGACGAAAAGCGTATGAACAGCATTTTGCGACCCTGCAAAATCGTGAAATGGCGACAACAGCTTTTAGCTTCCTGTGCTCGATTTCAACGCCATAACCACGACCACATGTTTCCTTCCACTCAAAATTTTACTCGTTGTTAATTTCCAAACCTCAAACCTCATGGAGGTTTTGGGTCAGTTCTATGCATACATCGTCAAAACGGCAAGGTAATTTTTCGAATGATTGAGGCCCCGGGCCCCGGTAGTATACAAAACGACAAGCCTGAGATCATACGGCTGCACAATCCTACAACACACCAAAAATTATTCACGTATGGAAGGGGCAGTATTTTGGGGAAGGGCATTGCCTAATTCGACTCTGGTGAACTAGTCCATCTGTGGCCTCGCGAGAAAGTAGACGGAGGTGATGAGGTAGGAAGTAAATAAGGTGTAGCAAGCAAAAAGCTGGGGTTTAATTATCAAATACCTTCCGCGATATTAGCTTCCTGCTAACAAGGTCTTAGAGGCAGAAGTCCTATTCATTTAATTCTCCCACTTGTAATCACATCTATTCAGAAACGCCAACCGCCCTCCTTTGGCCTCTTTCTAGATCTAAATAGCCCAGTATCAACGGTTGCCGATGGCCCCACTGGCACGGACAGGGACCGTGGGTGATTGGCTATGTGGAACGTCACGTGGTGAGTGTCCGTTCCATGCGCTACGGTATGCGCGCTACGGTCTCGTTAAGCGCTACGGTCATTTTACACTTCTATGTCCCATGTAGCATTTGGTGTTCCACAAAAGCTGTGCGAGGACGCGAACTTTGTATTCCTCAGAGCCTTCGGTGTCCTGATGTTCATCGGAGAAAGACCCTTGCCAATGCATTTCTCTGCATGCACATGACCTTCAGTTTACAGCCATTACGCTCATTTTAGGTT